CACTTAAAATACAGAGCAGGGTCATTTTTGCAAATTGCTTTGCAGCGTCTTTGTCTAAACGGGGCCTTTGAGAGCCCAGAGCTCTGTTTGGGTGAGGGAGGGAGGTTTTAGAGTGGGGGGAGGCTATTAACAAACTCAAATAAGTTTGGGGACCTGTAACGGTCTTCGAGGTGCAGGAATAGACCCTGTAATAGACCCTGTTCCTCATATTCAGGTGAGTGACTTCATTGGTCGTGACTGTGGACCACGCACATGCCCATCTACCTAAGGATAAATATAACAGAATATAATCCAGAATTCACGTATTTCAAGAAAAGGAGAATTTTCTATAAAATATTTTCATTGGTGATGACTTCCGCTGCCATTTAAACCCTCTATTAGATCGCTGACCAGCAGACAGTGCAGAGTGAACAATGTTTCAAGGATCAGATGACTCATAATATAAGGAGTTTCCTGGAGATAAAATACAATGAGGAAACGTCAGACTCTTACGGAAAGTCCTGAAAACAACAATGATAGGAGTGATTCTCTTTTGAAAGAGGACAGAGAAGCTGCTTTGTCTTTTGGAAATTCGGCACACATTGAATGTACCAGAAATACAACTCACTCGCAAACTGATTAAAATAACATCCATGAAAATATGAGTTTGATTCAATTCTTGAAGGAGATATAAGGAACCTTCTGCTGAAGACAAGACTGAGTCCTTTTGAGCAAAATTATAAAACACACTACTCTCCAGGCAAAGAGAAATCGAGCACAAAGAGCCATTCATAAAATGTACTGAGAGACTGGAGATATAACTACAGATATGCAAGAAATTAAGATCTTCCACGCTGATAACCTCAAATGCAAACAGCATATTTACCTTGCGAAAGTCTTCGGCCCCCTTGAACCTTTCAACATTTTGCCACATTTCAGGCTTCAAACATAAAGATATAAAATTTAAATGTTTTGTCATGAATCAACAACAAGTGGGACACACTCGTGAAGTGGGACAAGATTTATTGGATAATTTAAACTTTTTTAACAAATAAAAAACTGAAAAGTGGGGCGTGCAATATTATTCTGCCCCTTTACTTTCAGTGCAGCAAACTCACTCCAGAAGTTCAGTGAGGATCTTTGAATGATCCAATGTTGTCCTAAATGGCTGATGATGATAAATAGAATGCACCTGTGTGTAATCAAGTCTCCGTATAAATGCACCTGCTCTTTGATAGTCTCAGGGTTCTGTTTAAAGCGCAGAGAGAGCCATGAAGACAAAGGAACACACCAGGCAGGTCCGAGATACTGTTGTGGAGAAGTTTAAAGCCGGATTTGGATACAAAAAGATTTCCCAAGCTTCAAACATCTCAAGGAGCAAGCAATTATATTGAAATGGAAGGAGTATCAGACCACTTCAAATCTACCAAGACCTGGCCGTCCCTCCAAACTTTCATCTCAAACAAGGAGAAGACTGATCAGAGATGCAGCCAAGAGGCCCATGATCACTCTGGATGAACTGCAGATAACTACAGCTGAGGTGGGAGAGTCTGTCCATAGGACAACAATCAGTTGTGCACTGCACAAATCTGGCCTTTATGGAAGAGTGGTCTCGTTTAAAGTCTTGTTTAAAGTTTGCCACAAGCCACCTGGGAGACACACCAAACATGTGGAAGAAGGTGCTCTGGTCAGATGAAACCAAAATCGAACATTTTGGCCACAATGCAAAATGATATGTTTGGCGTAAAACCAACACAGCTCATCACCCTGAACACACCATCCCCACTGTCAAACATGGTGGTGGCAGCATCATGGTTTGGGCCTGCTTTACTTCAGCAGGGACAGGGAAGATGGCTAAAATTGATGGGAAGATGGATGGAGCCAAATACAGGACCATTCTGGAAGAAAACCTGTTGAAGTCTGCAAAAGACCTGAGACTGGAACGGAGATTTATCTTCCAACAGGACAATGATCCAAAACATAAAGCCAAATCTACAATGGAATGGTTCACAAATAGACGTATCCAGGTGTTAGAATGGCCAAGTCAAAGTCCAGACCTGAATCCAATCGAGAATCTGTGGAAAGAGCTGAAGACTGCTGTTCACAAACGCTCTCCATCCAACCTCACTGAGCTCGAGCTGTTTTGCAAGGAAGAATGGGAAAGAATTCCAGTCTCTCGATGTGCAAAACTGATAGAGACATACCCCAAGCGACTTGCAGCTGTAATTGCAGCAAAAGGTGGCGCTACAAAGTATTAGCGCAAGGGGGCCGAATAATATTGCACACCCCTCTTTTCAGTTTTTTATTTGTTTAAAAAAGTTTAAATTATCCAATAAATGTCGTTCCACTTCACGATTGTGTCCCACTTGTTGTTGATTCTTGACAAAAAATTTCATTTTTATATCTTTATGTTTGAAGCCTGAAATGTGGCGACATGTTGAAAGGTTCAAGGGGGCCGAATACTTTCGCAAGGCACTGTATGTGCTCAGGCTTCACAAGCATCTTACAGGGCATGCCCCTTTATTCTTTAATTAGGCTTTAGGAGCCATAGGGTTAGGAGTAGGGCTCCTTTGTTTTTAAATCAGGCTGTAGGAGACAAAGGGTTAGGGTTAGAGATAAGAAACCAGCCCGACATAAAAGGCACTAACTTGTGAGTGGATAGCACTCTTGCCTCTCAGCAAGAAGGTCCTGGGTTCGAATCCCGGTCGGACCAGGGCCTTTCTGAGTGGAGTTTGCATGTTCTCCCCGTGTCTGCGTAGGTTTCCTCCGGGTACTCCGGTTTCCCCTACCACTAAAAATATGTCCAATAGTTCTGGCATGTGCCTCCTGTACTGGCGACCCCGCTCCCATCTCTGTGTGGAGTGAGAGACAAATGCCCAAAATTAACAATTGTAAACCGCTTTGAGACTCAGATCTGCAGTGAAAAGGCGGTATATAAATAAAAACTTACTTACTTACTAACTTTGGAGGTGAATTTCTTCATTCATGTGCTGAGTATATGTTAATTAACCTAACTCAGGCTTCAAAACCAACTGGTCCAAAAGTGAATCAAAGACCTGCCTCACAACATTAAGCAGCAATGTTAATCACCACAATCACTGCAGAAAAAACGTATTTAAACTGACAGTAAAGGAAGTGAAGAGGATCCTGGAAATGATCATTTGTAGCTCCAGGATCCTGGAGCATGTGTGTTTTGAGACCCTGTTAGAAGACACTGTTTGAAGACCCTGTTAAAAAACCCTGTTTGGAGCCACCTGCATGCTCATCTGAACTCACCAAATAACTATGTTCTATGAGGAGATAACCTCATGAAAAATAGTTATTTTTTAACCCTTGTGCTACACTTGACCACCTGTCAGATATAACTTTGTATTTTTACTGTATTTTTACTTGTATTTTAACACATTTTCAGTTTTTACTTGTATGTAAGGTGAACTTGAGTGCCGAGAAAGGTGCCTAAGAAATACAATGTATTATTATTATTAATAAAGATGGCGAATTTGGGTCTAAATGGTCTAAGTGATGCAGGGCTGGTCAAGTTAGGAAAAAAATATCAACATTCAGCTTGAAAGAAAATGATTGATGGCTAGATAGATATGTGAGATTTCATAACACTTTGAAGCAACTTTTGTTAAAGTTAAACTCATCATTCTATCAATGTGCAGAAGCCAGTACTTTTCCCTTGTTTTGTCTATCTGAAGGCCAAGCTACATGGCACTGTGGCAGCTGCTGATTGGAGGTCTCCATGCCTCCGCTCTGTATAATACACTTGCATTCTGTGTTCGTGTTGTTCGTGCTGTCTCTACCATCGACAATAAAACATGTCTTCTGTCTGAATGAAAGACGCAATCCCAGACTTTGTCATCTTCTTCAGGTGGTGGAAGGATGCAGGCCTTGTCTGTAACATCTAGTGAACAGAAGACTACTTTTTTTTTTACACAAAAAGGGTTTTTTTTTTCCAAGCCAAAACTGAAAAACCTCAAGAGAAACCATGCATCTGGATCAGCACACTTGGACAATCTGCACAGCCCCTGATTCCAGTCAGGCCTGCTGTGAGCTGCTGAGACATGGACAATACCATCGTCCTCTTTTGCATGGACATCATTTGGAACAATTGGATTTCTGAATTTGGACATAATTTGGACTGAATTGGATTTCTGAATCTGGACACTAAAGCTGAAACGTGTGATTGAAAGACACGTCACAGAAGAATTCATGGCTCGACACAAATGCAGCCTGAAGAAATCAACACGGAGAAGTGGGAGAGACTGTTTTCAAAGCAATATCTGGAACCATCGACTGATGAAGTTTGGTATTTTACTGAAGATTGTTGACAAGTTTTATGAAAGATCTGAACATGTTTTATGAGTTTTCTGAGTTTTTGAAGTACCGAGTGAAGTACCGAGTTTATGAGTTGAAGTATTGAGTTATGATGTTATGTTGCTGTTTATCGATCCTGATGGTCACACGGGAATGTATGACCAGAGGGGGGAATGTGAGATTTCATAACACTTTGAAGCAACTTTTGTTAAAGTTAAACTCATCATTCTATCAATGTGCAGAAGCCAGTACTTTTCCCTTGTTTTGTCTATCTGAAGGCCAAGCTACATGGCACCGTGGCAGCTGCTGATTGGAGGTCTCCATGCCTCCGCTCTGTATAATACACTTGCATTCTGTGTTCGTGTTGTTCGTGCTGTCTCTACCATCGACAATAAAACATGTCTTCTGTCTGAATGAAAGACGCGATCCCAGACTATGTCATCTTCTTCAGATAGATAGACACTTTATTGATTCCCTGTAGTGTCCTGCAGCAGAACACTCATCCAGGTCTGTTGTTCAGTCTGACAGCCGAAGGAACAAAGGATCTCCCAAAACTTTTCGTTCGGCAGCGCAGTGAAAGGAACCTGTTTCTACAGGGTAATGAGGTGCAGGTATACAGGGTATGAGGACAGAGACATGGAGAAGAACCTGAGCAGGCAATGTTGTACTGTGTGCTAGTGACATGTTTTTGCTTTGTGCAGGCACATCCAGGATCCTGCTAGTCAGAGGCTGACCTGGAACAAGCCCCCCCAGAGTGTGCTGGTCATCAAGAAGATTCGTGACATCGCCCTGCTGCAGCCATTTAAGGAGCTCTGCCGCTTTCTCACAGAGGTAACGTAGACTCTTTGCTCTAACCCAGTATCCTTAAACATGCTTCCCCGTAGCTAGTGAACAGTCTGTGCTAATATGTTGTACATTAAATTTAATCAAGAAAACAACTACAACATTCATTTGACCATCAACATTGAAGCCTGAATGAAATAAGCAATATTTCAAAGCAAACATTATTAAACCTAGTCTACCATGCAAAGCTTAATTTTTCTTTCATCCAGTTTTGATTCAATCGCCGCAGCTGGACTCATTTTGTTCATAGAATATATCAAATTAAATCCAACTCATATTCATATACTCATATTCTATAAAACCATCTACAAACGCTTGATTCTTGGTTTTCCTGTTTTTGTCTCTGTTTTGAGCCCAAACGTTTATTTTCTCTACTGCTAATGTTAAGGAATGAGAAGATGCACAGTTTATTTATCCAGACTAATTTAGTGTCCCATGAAAAATGATTTTAACTAGACACAAACTTAAAGCCACCCTGTGTAATTTTTAAAGCTGCTCCATATGCAAAAACATGTTAACTAATAACAAATGTGACCTTTTTAAGAATATTTACCTCCACCATGTTTTTTGAATTGTATTCATAGGCTTAGAATTAACTTACAAGTGTCCATGAGAGCTGGGGACTATCCATGTCAATGCGCCATCTTGAAAAATGGTGGTGGATAAAGGACAAAAAGGATGCGTGAATTGCGTTTTCGTTTCACATGAGCTACTGATATTGATGCTTTCACCGTGCCTTCACAAGTTGGAAGAAGGAACCATGGAGGACCACAGTTATGTAAAAGAACAATCCAAACAACAATCTTTTAGAAAAATTATTATGCAAAAGTCGCAAACCACACGCACCGAAAGACAGCGTCAACACAACAGGAGGCACATTGTGTAGTATGCACACAACAGACTCACACATTCAGATTCGGATTCCGTTTATTTGCCATTTGCAGTTAAAAAAAAACCACATTGGAATACATTAGCAAAAAGTCACCAGTGTGCACAGACAAATACAGACATAAAACAACATTAGAAGTACGGAAATAAAACAAAACAGTAAACAAATGTCACTGTGAAATCGATCGGCTAAAACAGTTTCAAAACAAGTGCAAATCATTAAAGTGCTCTGTTCAAACTGATAACAGCCTGTGGAAAAAAGCTGTTAGCATAACGAGATGTCCTGCATCTCAGAGAACAATATCTTCTGCCAGAGGGAAGAAGCTGGAACAAGGCTTTTCCAGGTTGGCCAGAAGAGTAATTGATAATTCTTAGAGCTCTATTAAGAAGTCTGGATATATAAAGAACCTCCAGAACAGGAAGCTCACAGCCCACGGTCCTCTTTGCAGAGCGGAGCACCTTGTTTAAAGCTCTCTTTTCTTTATCTGTGATGTTTCCAAACCACACAGACACAGAACCAACAAGTAAACTCTCAATGGTGCAGCCATAAAAGTTGAGCAGAATCTTAGAGTTAGTGGTAAATTCTCTAAGTTTACGCAGAAAGTAGAGACGCTGACAAGCTTATTTAACGACTCGGTCAGTGTTTTTAACCCATTTCAGGTTAGACAGAGTTAAATCCAGAAACTTGCACTCCTCTACGATCTGCACCTGGGAGTTGTCGATTACGACAGGCAAATGAGAACTATTGCGACTGAAGTCGTTGACCAGTTCACATGTTTTGGATGCGTTCAACTGGAGGTTGTTAGTTTTACTCCACTGAACCACATTTTGTATCTCTGCTCTATAAGAGGATTCATCATTGTTACTGATGAGACCGATGATGGTGGTGTCATCAGCATATTTGATGATCAAGTTTGAGTCAGAGGAGGACACACAATTGTGAGTGTACAAAGTAAAAAGTAAAGGACTACATCCCTGAGGAGAACCAGTGCTCACAGAAACAACATCAGAAAAACAGTCATTGATTTTCACTCTCTGAGATCTGTCAGTTAAAAAGCTAAAAATCCATTTACGCATGGCAACACTTAAAACGAGAGACATGAGCTTTTCAATCAGTTTACCTTGGACAAGGCAGTTAAAAGCAGAGCTATAATCGATGAAAAGCATTCTCGCGACAGATTTACTATTGTCCAGGTGACTGTAGACAGAGTTCAGAGCAAAGGAGATGGCATCCTCCACCTGTTCTGTCTGTAAGCAAACTGGAGCGGGTCAACACTCACAGGGATCTGGCTCTTAATGAAGTCCAGCACAAGCCGCTCAAAAGTTTTCATAAGAACAGATGTGAGGGCCACAGGACGATAGTCATTCAGGCATGTCACAGCTGACCAGCAGACAGTGCAGAGTGAACAATGTTTCAAGGATCAGATGACTCATAATATAAGGAGTTTCCTGGAGATAAAATACAATGAGGAAACGTCAGACTCTTACGGAAAGTCCTGAAAACAACAATGATAGGAGTGATTCTCTTTTGAAAGAGGACAGAGAAGCTGCTTTGTCTTTTGGAAATTTGGCACACATTGAATGTACTAGAAATACAACTCACTTGCAAACTGATTACAATAACATCCATGAGAGTTTGATTCAATTCTTGAAGGAGATATAAGGAACCTTCTGCTGAAGACAAGACTGAGTCCTTTTGAGCAAAATTATAAAACACACTACTCTCCAGGCAACGAGAAATCGAGCACAAAGAGCCATTCATAAAATGTACTGAGAGACTGGAGATATAACTACAGATATGCAAGAAATTAGGATCTTCCACGCTAATAACCTCAAATGCAAACAGAATATTTATGTGCTCAGGCTTCACAAGCATCTTACAGGGCGTGCCCCTTTATTCTTTAATTAGGCTTTAGGAGCCATAGGGTTAGGAGTAGGGCTCCTTTGTTTTTAAATCAGGCTGTAGGAGACAAAGGGTTAGGGTTAGAGATAAGAAACCAGCCCGACATAAAAGGCACCAACTTTGGAGGTGAATGTCAAAAACATTGTCATTGATTTTCACTCTCTGAGATCTGTCAGTTAAAAAGCTAAAAATCCAGTTACACATGGCAACACTTAAACCGAGAGACATGAGCTTTTCAATCAGTTTACCTGGGACAAGGCAGTTAAAAGCAGAGCTATAATCGATGAAAAGCATTCTCGCGACAGATTTACTAGTGTCCAGGTGACTGTAGACAGAGTTCAGGAGATGGCATCCTCCACACTCCTGTTCTGTCTGTAGCAAACTGGAGCGGGTCAACACTCACAGGGATCTGGCTCTTAATGAAGTCCAACACAAGCCGCTCAAAAGTTTTCATAAGAACAGACGTGAGGGCCACAGGACGATAGTCATTCAGGCATGTCACAGGAGTTTTCTTAGGAACTGGAATGATGGTCGACTCTTTAAAGCAGTTCGGCACAGTACAGTTTCTTAGCGACAGGTTGAAAATGTCTGTTAGCACAGGGGCAAGTGGCTTAGAGCACAGTTTCAGGACACGAGGAGGGATGCCGTCCGGGCCTGGGGCTTTCCGGACTGTGGTCCTGGACAAGACACGCCTGACATCCTCCTGAGTCACGGTGAAGGTACCTTGAATTAAACACTCAGGGAATACAGTAGGACAGGCATCAGCAGATTCAAAGCGACAGTAGAACGTGTTCAGCTCGTTTGGCAGAGCTTGGCCGACAGATCCGATTTTCCCAGCGCTAGGTTTCCACGATGTGATGGCTTTAATACCGTTCCACATGCGCCGAGGGTCATCTTCCTCAAAATAACCCTTTGACCTGTCCCCGTAACTGCGCTTGGCAGATTTAATTGTGTTTCAATTAGTAACAGGATAGCTTTAAGCAACTGTATCATTTGATTGAAACGCCAACGCACGCTCATGAAGTTTCAGTTTCACTTCCGCGTTCATCCAAGGGTTTTGACTAAAATGTTCTTTAATGGCCTTCTGTGGGACACAGCAGTCAATACAGAAGCGTATGTATCCAGACACAGCGTCACAGAATTCATTGACGTCCTCTGACTGAAACACAGACCAGTCCGTAGCATCAAAACAGCCCTGTAGCTTCATGCTAGCCTCCTCAGACCAACACTGCACAGTGCGTGAGGTTGGTTTATGTTCCCTGCTCCTTTGAGTATATGAGGGAAGAAGGAGAACAGAGGAGTGGTCAGACTTTCCAAAGGGAGGTCTGAGACTGGACCTGTAAGCTCCCTTCATGTTACTGTAGCAGTGATCCAGAACATGTGCTCCTCTTGTAGCTCGAGTCACATGTTGGTAAAAGTTCGGGAGTACAGTCTTTAATTTACATTTGTTGAAATCCCCAGCAACAATGATGACTGCGTTAGGATGAGCAGACTCATGTTTGTGAAGGATCTCGCTCAGATCCTGTAGGGCTACTTTGTAATCCGCACGTGTGTGAATGTAAACAGCACATAAAAATATCACTGAAAACTAACGGGGAAGATAAAAAAGGGCAGCTGAAGACCAGGCATTCCAGATTGGCAGTACATGTTTGGTTCACGATTCGAGTGTCCGTGCACCAGCGCTGATTAATTAAAAAGCACACACCTCCGCCTCTGGCCTTGCCGGTGGTCTCCTTCACTCTGTCCGCGCGCTGAGCGGTGAATCCCGGGGGCTGAACAGCAGAGTCCGGGACGCCTGGATGGAGCCACGTCTTGCTGAGACAGAACACAGCACAGTCCCGGGCCTCGCGCTGGCTCTGGACCCGACACAGGAGCTCGTCCGTCTTGTTGGGCAGAGACTGGACGTTGGCCAGGTAGATGGAGGGCAGAGCGGTCCTATAGGAGCGGCTTCTCACGAGCAGACCGCCTCGCCTTCCCCGGTGTCTCCGCCTCCTACGTCGGCTCGTGGTGCCTAGCTCCACACCGCGGAGAGCACGTCGGAGACGCCCAGTCCCCTCGCTCTGTTGGCGGCCACCGCCGCGGCCAGGCTGCTGTGCTCCACCAGCCTCTCGAGTGGGGCACTCGAGGAAATTTGTGCACCTCAGTTCAGGTAAAACGAGTGTCCCGTCACACGCGTGGTCCTGAATGTACAGAAGTG